GATGCGAAGGCGGAGCGGGCTGGGTGTGACCATTGCTGGGGTGTGCGACCCGTGCTGGGGTGTGTGACCCGGGCAGGGATGTGTGACCCAGGCTGGAATGTGCAACGATTGCTGGGGCGTGTGACCTGCAGTGAGGTGTGTGACCTGCGTGGGGGTGTGCGACCACTGCCGGAGTGTGCAATCTCTGCTGGGTGTGCGACCTGTGCTGGGGTGCATGGCCTGTGTTGTCTGTGTGACCCGTGCTGGCTGTGTGACCTGTGATGGGGTGTGCAACTATTGCTGCATTATGTGACCCATGCTCGGGTGTATGACCACTGATGGGATGGGCGACCATTGCTGCAGTGTGTGACCTGTGCTGGGGTGTGCGACCATTTGTGGGGTGTGCGACCATTTGTGGGATGTGCGACCGTTGCTGGAGCGTGCGACCTGGGCAGGGGTGCATATCCCATGTTGGGTGTGCGGCCTGTGCTGTGGATTGCAACCTGGGCTGGGGTGTCCGAAACCCGGCCAAGAGGTGCCAAGCAGCCGGTCACTTTCTGCCTGCTGTGAACCCCCGCGTGGGTAAGCCTGTGCGGGGCTCGCTCCCTGGTCCGCAACGGGGCTGAAGATCCTGAGCAGAGTCCCAGGGCAGTTTCCCGCACTCGGTGCAATGCTGCGCTCTCTCGTGCTCTGGTTGCTTTCAAAGGCAGTAAATATATTGCCTCCGTCAGTCAGGCGGGCTCGGTGGTGTCACGTGCTTTCTTTACTAATTGGGCTTAATCCACTTGCTTTGGTTTTGGCAGCGTTTGGTGACTGGAGTGGTGGCAGGGGTTGGGAAGAGCAAAGCTTGGAGGGAGGCTAGGCGGGTTGGCTGTTGAAGACATGGTTAATTTTTGATTAAATCCCTCTTGGGGGGCAAAAGCAACAGCAGCAGCAGCAATTAGCTGGGCCACAGGAAGCACAAAGCAAACACCGCAGGGAAGGTCTGCATGATTTGGAGATCAGGAGGTCAGAAAAAGGCGGCAGCTCCCCCCTGCCCAGCTGTCCCCGAAATACGGGGAAAACCACGACGTTTGTGCAGGGAGCAGCAGGTGCCCGATGTGGCTGATCTAACCCCCCACATAACTCGTATGTCCCCATATGTGCCTTACGCAGGTGACACTTGCCAACGCGATGTGGTCCCCAAGGCCTGTGGGGCCGTGCTCGAGGCTCCCCTACGATGCGTTTCCCAGGGTTTTGGGGAGGGCATAAAAACTGTTTGCACCTGTTGCAGCCGGCTGGTCCCTCCCTAAGACGTAATTGCAGGCAATAAAGCGTCTTTTCTGCAGGCAGCTCATTATTAAATGCCAACCAGAGCGATGAAAAGGGAGATGCTCCCGAGGCCCTGGCTGCGTCGAATGGGCGGTTGTTTCCCAAACGCCCACCCTGGCCGGGCAGCCTCTGCCAGGGTGTGCAAACCGAAGGCAGGTTGGGCCTGGAGCGGCAAGGGCGTGATGACGATGAAGGCAGACGAGGCTCGCAATGGGCGAGCGCGGCGCAGAGCAGGGTTGTGCTGGAGATTGTTAGCACTGCTGACAACACACACCTCCAACACCCTGCCACATTGCACCCCCGCAGCCAGGCCCACCCCGCTGTGTATCTGAGGCCCGGCTGGCGAACGAGAACGTATTGAAGCTACAGGCGGCATCACGTAGCCCAATGCCGCACAGCAGCAGAGCAAGGAGCGGGACCCAGCAGGCCTGAGGCCACAAGCCCTCCCGCTGACACCCTCCTCCCAGCCCGCTGGCACGAGAGCCAGCCTCCAGCTGTGCTGCTGGGAGAGGCTGTTTTCTAGCGACGCTTGCAGAGGCAGCAAGCGTCACCTTTGCAGGGCCAGCGCCTCCTCTGACCGGGTGCCACGCAGGGCTTTCCCCCACTGGTCCTTGGGGTGCAGCTGGCTTTCACCCCGTCCCACCCCACTTGTGCCCGGGCTCGACTCGGGCCCAGGGTAGGGCTGTCCAGCATGTGATGGGGACCACGGCACAGTGGCACTCGCACTGGCAGAACAGCCCTTGCGAAGGTCTGCTGGGCGCGGGAGAGCACTGCTCGGCCACATGCAAATCCTGAGCCGGACTGAGCTGCTGCTGTTTGCCTGGGCTGGGCTGCGGCTGGCGGTGATGGAAGTGCAGGGTGCTCCAGTGCCCTCAGTGTTCAGGACAAGTCTCTGGTAGACATACCAGCAAGCCTCTCGCTAGCACTGAAATGCTTTTCCTTTTTCTTTTTATTTTTTGGCTCTATAGCTGTATCTTAACCGCTCTGGCGTGAAGATGCTGAAATAACCCAATGGAAAGGTCTGCTGTGGTCGTTCCTTTGACTTTACATTGTACTGAATTAGCCAGACACATGCTTGGGAAACCGTAACTTGTACGCTGTGCTGATACAGGAATTATTTTCATTTCATGCCTCCCATCCATTCTTTATTTAAAAATGAACAATCTTCACTTACTGCTTTCTTTATGAGACGATTTCAAAGTGCTGGTGAAGAGGCATCAGTTTAATCAGTATTGCACCTACAGAAAGACTAAGGAAACTCCCGTGGGCATGAGACCCAGGCAGCGTCGCAGGCTGCACCGCCGTGGCTGCCGTGCCGCACCGCCTTCTGCCTCCCTCGCTTTTCGGCTTCAGTGGAGAAACCCCTCATGACTAGGCTGTTGCCTACATATGCCCAGAACTGTCCCAGCTGACTGTATTTGTCTATTCCCTGTTCATCTGGCTGCTGAGTGCCCCAAGGGTGAGCTCAAGCAGTGGGGAAGCCTGGCTGCTATTGGAAGCCCCAGGCGGGTATTTTAATCAATGCAATTACAAAGAGATGACTTGACAGCAAAAATAAGCCAGACCTAAATGTGACCTGAGTGAAAGCCCCTAGTCAGGATAAATCAAGTGTAGTCCTTTGGCATGACTGTCAGGTGGGGGAGTTTTCTACTCGTAGGCGGGCTCGAGCTTCACGGGGAATGGGGATCCAGCCTCTGCGGATCGACATCGTCTTCTCCCTCTCTGGTATGAGAAGTTTCCTCCTTCAAAGAGGGCTGAAATCAGTGCTAGTGGCTATGCAGGGCCACGGAGAGCCCGGCAGTGAGGCACGCTCTCAGAGATGTTGAGTTAAAGGCCAATCCTCGCACTCCCCTCCCGTTGCTTGTGGTGGGAACTGAGAGCTGAGGACGTTCTGCGTTTGCTTGTTAGTAAATAAGATACGGTTTCGAGTCCTTCACCAAAAGGCTGTCATCCACAGGAAGGGAGACTGGGAAGAAAGCCTGTGCCAGCTAGGAATCATCGCGGAGCTTTCTTGCATCTGTGGAAGAGGCAGCAAGGAATATCTTGTGGTCTAGACTCTGGTTTCCCCGGGGCTGTGACCCTCCTGCTCAGAATAAATTGACAACCCAAGAGAAACACCCTGCACGAGAGCCCAAGCTGCGCCTGGGATTCCCCAGCGATGGCTTCGCTTTGAGGGGGTGATGGAAAAGAGATACAAAGGGAAGTCTCTGTACATGCACGATGGGCAACAGCTGTATGGAGCCAATTATACTGTTGCAACCTCCCTTTTATGGAGATTGCCGTTTCCAAAGGGAAATGTCCCAATGGTGTGCACGTGCCCTGCAGCATCAGCTCTGCTTTTGAGTGGCTACTTGGGTATTGAAGATGTGCGTGCTTGGGGCTAATTGCTCTCGTTTTCTGCTAGTGATAAAGTGTGCTCAGATTAGATAGCACCTTCGGCCTCCTAATCCCCGTGGCTCCAGTAAATGGTCTGTTAGCGGACAGGAGCTGCTTGCC